CTCTTGTTCGTATGAACATTAGCCAACATTAGCCGATGTTCCCTCTCCACTCTCCACGTCTTTGTGCAGCATGCCTGGAACAACCTCCTTCCTCCACCTCTTAGAATCCTTGTTTTCCTTCAGAACTCAATGCCACCTCCTACCCAAAGCTTCTCCTGATCCCCCAAGCTGCCGCTCCCTCCTCCTCAAATTATCTTGAATTTATTTTGTTTATTTATATTTACATAATAATGTATATTATATAGTTATATTATATCATTATATAAAATGATAATTTATCTATCATTTATATATGTACATGGTGTCCCCCTATATAGAATGCAAGTTCCTTGAGTGCGGAAGTGGTTTCATTTTTGTCCTTGTTTTCCTAGCACTTAGTAGGTACTTAACAGATGCTTCTTAATTGATTAACCCTCTTCCCCTCCTATCTTCCTCCCATCCCCTCTCTAATTGTCCATCATTTCCCTGTCTAGTAGCTCCTTCGCTAATACCTTCTGCAAGGATGAGGCAGAAACCCTCACTCCATACAATGTAATCACAGGAAGCCCAGACTCCTTGACTGAACCAATGAAGGATATAAATTAGATGTAAACAGATGTTTAATTTGGTAAGTTGGATAAGAACAGACAAGGGAAATATTTTGTGGTCGGTTGAAGAAAATCATTTACTCCCAGTGAGGCAACATGGTGGACCAGAAGTCAACTCCTAGTGATGCTATGATGAAGGACTCCTAGCGGTTGGGGTAAGGATGAGCTTTCTTTTTCCTCCCTTTCCTCATTGACCAGATGATAACCTTGTAAACCTCCAAAGGTTGGAAGATCTGGAGTTCCCCCCAGAGCTAGAAGAGGTGTCCCCAAGCAATGGAGGCTGACAGCATCCTCCAAAGCCAAGAGACACGTGGAGGACAAATTAGATGCACCGAGGAAGGGCGTCTCCAGGAGTCTACAAGGCCACTGAACAGAGAGCTACATCTCAGGGGGAACTTCATGAGACTTCCAAGGAGGAAGGAAGGAAAAAGAACTTCTAACAACCAGAAGCTGTGAATTTGCTCTTTGGTCACATGTGTTGTCTAAGCATGAGCCCACTCTCCCCAGGAAACTTGTACGTGCAAGGGAAGAGTATGAATCTTTTTTTTTTCTTTTTGGTGAGGCGATCGGGGTTAAAGTGACTTGCCCAGGGTCATACAGCTAGTAAGTGTTAAGTGTCTGAGGCTGGATTTGAACTGAACTCAGGTCCTCCTGACTCCAAGGCCAGAGCTCTATTCACTTCCACACCTAGTTGCCCCCAAAAAGTATGACTCCTAAGGTGATGTTTCTATAACAGCTGCCCTTGCTAGAGCTACTTAGTATATACCCTTTCAAAAATCGAATGAAGTCTGGCTGATAACCAGTGGGAAGCATACCGGATAGGGGCTCATGAGCAATAGTACTAGACATCTCAGCCCCTTAAGGTTACCTCTAGAAACCTGAGGGAAGAAGTAGCAGCCACCCATTCCATGTATATAAGTTAGGTGAGTGAACCCAGAAGGAAACACAAACACCCCCCAATCCTCCCCATCCTTTAAAAAAATACCTTAAATTGACCCTACAATTCCCGCAAGTGCCCTTTATTTGTCATCCTACATCTCTCCTCCCTTTCTCAGCCAAACTCTTAGAAAAAGCTATCTATTCTTGCCTTATTTCCTCTCCTGGCTTCTAACCTCATCACTCAACTGAAACCGTGCTCTCCAAAATGATCGACATTTTTAAAATCGCCAAATCTGGCAACTTTTTCTCAGCGCTCAACCTTCTTGATCTCTCTGCACTACCTAACTCTGCCAATCACTCGGGGTTATTACAGTGCTCTGCCCTGGTTCTCTCGCCTGTCAAACTGCTACACTTTAGTGTCCTTTGCAGGATTTTCTTCTTTGTCCTATCCCCATGCATTGGTATACCCTCTTCTCTCCTCTCTCATCACTTTCTCTGCTGATCTGATCTGTTCTCATGGATTCAATCATCATCTCTTTGCTGGTAACTCCCAGATCTATCCTGTCCCTCATCTCTAATTCGACATGTCCCAAACTGAATCCCCTTTTTTCTCAAAACACTTGGCTCTTCATAAGTTCTTTATTCCTGTACAGGCCACCACCATCAGGGTGAAGAGATAGGATATTTTAGTGTTGCTCAACAGTAGAAAGTCATGGGTCGGTTTGCATCATATTTAACACAGCACCCTATGAAATTTTTTTTTTTTTTTGGTGAGGCAATGAAGTGAAGTGACTTGCCCAGGGTCACACAGCTTGGCTGTCAAGTGTCAAATGTTTGAGGTCGGATTTGAACTCAGGTCCTCCTGACTCCAGGGCCAGTGCTCTACCCACTGCACCACCTTGCTGCCCCCAATCCTATGAATTCTTAGAGATAGATCCCAGAGCCTATCAATCCAATATATTTTTACGGCCACTATAAAGACAGTCCAACCCATTCTTCTTTTTTCCAACTCTAAACCCAACTCGCTACCCACCTCTATTGTCTATGGCAGACATAGAATTCTGACAGAGAATTCTTATAAATTATCCACCCAAATATATGCTGTAATCTTATAATAGACATTCATTGGGGCAGCTTGGTGGCGCAGTGGATGGATCACCGACCCTGGAGTCAGGACCTGAGTTCAAATCCAGCCTCAGACACTTGACACTTACTGTGTGACCTTGGGCGAGTCGCTTAACCCCATTGCCTACGCCAAAAAAAAAAAAATAGACATTCATCATCATCCAGTTGGTCTTTCATGGGTAGATTGTCAGCCCAAACTCTTTTGAATGATCCCAGATCTCTTTTAGCAGGTTCTGCAATGTCCGTGGACTTGATGCAATCAGTAAAATGGATAGTGGCTGGGCCTGGAGTCAGGAAGACCTGACTTCAAATATAGCCTCCAGCTGTGTGACCCTGGGAAAGTCATTTAACCTTTGTTTGCCTCAGTTTCTGCAACTGTAAAATGGGAGTAATAACAGCATCTACGGACAGCCCTGGCACATAGTAGGTGCTTGGTAAATGCTTATTCTCCCTTCTGGTGTTAACCCTGAATGACTTTGCTGTAAGAATGAGAGACACTTTGTTGTAAATAAGCCTGGAAGCTTTCATTTTGCTCAGCAGCATCAAAAAAAAATTTTTTTTTTTAAGAACAAACACCAAACATAATGGGATCTTAGAATCTCTCCTTCTCTCCATTAATTATGAAATGTAAAGTTGTGGTGTATCATTGAGGATTGCTCATGAAAGCCTTCTCTTACCCTACTAATGCCCTCAATTCATGTGTAAATACTCTCTCTGAACATTTCTGAGAGATGAGTAGGCATTGGGTTGGTAATTACTAGTGTTTCCCCAATTGCCTTCCCCCCAACATTCCCTAAGTCTGAGACTTTCCCCATGTCTTGGTTATCTCCCCCATCCCTGCCCTTCAGACACATGGTACATCTGATGCTCTGCACCTTCACCGACATCACCTCCAGCACTGATCTCTTCCCTGGCCATGGCCCAATGTGGCTGCTCTTCCCATCTTTGTTCTCATCAGTGCTAATCTTGTCTCCACTCCATGTACGCCTGGGACTGTGATGCCAAGGTCCAGATGGGTTGGTTCCCCTCAGCTTTCTTCATCAAGGATATTTTACAAATCTTTTCCATTTTTCTTCTGTTTTGATCTTCTCTTTCCATTTGCATCCTTATATGTCCTTGGGATAACTTTGTTCAGTTGGGTATCTCCCCAAGTTTTCTTGAGGCTGACTTTATTCTCCAGTTTCTCCTTTCTTTAGGAGATAGAGCTTAGAATCATGCAGTAGCCTACTTCATAAGATTCAATGATCTTCCATCCCCAGCACAGCCGCCATATTGATATCACTAAAACACACCTGACCATGACACTCACTTGTTCAAGAATCTCCATTGCTCTCAATGGCATCTATACAAACTCCTTTGCTTGGCATTTCAAGCCCTTCCCAGCCTGGCTTTAGCCGACTTTTCCAGACTTATTTGATATCCATAGTTTGGCCAAACTGGCCTGATTGCTATTCTTCAAACAATATGCTATCTCTTACCTCCATGCCTTTGCAAAGGCTGTTCCCCATGCCAGGAATGCCCTCCCTCCTTGAGTCCTCCTAGAATACCTAGGTTTTTTTTTTTTCAGTTCCTGTGCCAGTCAGTTCCGACTCGCTATCCTTCCTGATCTCAGCTGCTGAAACCTTTCCTGGGAAATAACTTTTTATTTACTTAACCTTGTCCATATTATTTCCTTTCCCCTGGATAGAATGTAATCTCTTTCAGGGAGACGTGATTTCATTTTTTACTTTGTACCTACCCTAGCACCAAGCACAGTGTCTGGCATATCTGGAGGTCCTTAATAAATGCTCACTGAGTGAATGAATGATTAGATCACTCTGGGAGGAAAAGAGAGAAAGGAGGTTGGAACAAGAGGAGGGGATAGAGGGTGGAGTCTAGGGCTTTGAGAATGGAGGGGAGGGGAGGGAAGAGGAGGAGAGAGTTGGGGTAGGGCGGGGCTGGAAAGGGAACTGGATGGTAGAGTGGAGAGGCCTGTAGACTCAGAGGCAGGACATTGTTGGCCCTGGACAAGCTGCTTCAAGTTTCCTTATCTGTAAAATGGGGACAATTATTTCCATAGCACCTAATTCTCAGAGCTGTTGTGAGACTCAAACTAGATATATGAAGCACTATGTAAAAGAAAGAAGAGCGGGAAGGAGAGTGGGAGGAAAGGGATGGAAGGAAGTGAGGGAGGGGGAAAGGAAGGAAAGGGAGAGAAGGAGAGAGGAAAAGGAAAGAAGGAAGGAAGGGGAGGGAGGGAGAGAAGGAGGAAGGAAGGGGAGGGAGGGAAGAAGGAAGGAAGAGAGGGGGGAAAGGGAGAGAAGGAAGGAAGATTATAGATCTGACAATATAAACTAAACTACATAAAGGTGAGCTACTACTTATGGTCTACAGAAGCCATAGCTTGCCATCCCAGAGAGAACCCAAGGCCCAGAGACAAATTCACACATCTTTATTGGGAAGGGAAAGGGAGGCAAGGGGTTCCGACCCCACTCTTAAAGTCCAGGCCCAGCTCTGCTCCCTCTCTCCAACCCTCCTGCACCTCTCCCTAGGTGAGCAGGGAGTGGGGGAAGAGGTACCAGGGCTCTTTGTCCACCCATGCCAGTGGGTTGGAGACAGGGCAATACCCCTCAGAAAGGGCCCAGGAAAGGGGCTAGGCACAGACAGACATTTCCTCAGACAAAATCAATGGGCCTGGGCCAACGGGCAAAGGCCGTGTGCTGTCCATCAGGCTGGGTAGCCTACGTGTGGGGTAGATTTTCTCAGCAGACCACACAGTGCCTTACACAGAGTAGGCACTGAAAAAAATGTTGAGTTGACTTGACAGGGGAATAGGAGAAGGCTCAAATGCCAGTCCTGAGAGGGGTGATAATCCTGGATTGGGGAGAAAAGCTCCCTGCATTTTACAGATGACAAGGCTAAGGTGGGGCAGGGTGGCTCGTTGTCTTGGGCTAAGGGCAGGATGGGCTATTTCTCTAGGCCAAGGGGAAAGGGCTTGGTAGCCTGTGCTAGCAAAGAGCCCCACCCAATCAGATCCCCGGTTGAACCTTCTGGAGATGACATGCCTGCTGTGCAGCTTCTCCACCACAGAGGGACTTAGAAGGGGTGAGGAAGCCCAGTTCGGTGCATGTAGGAGCTGTCTAGGGCTGTTGCTGGGGCAACATCCGTTCTGGGGCAGCCTCATATCCAGAGCTTTGGACTCCCCTGAGGTCTCCACCAAGTGACCGTGGGGCATATGAGCCCCACCATCTGCAGAGTCTGGGAGAAGAGGAGGAGCCATCGCTCCCCGGGGAGAGCTGGGAGCTCCTCCTTGAGTGCTATGTGGCCTCTGGGCCTGGGGGGAGGAGGCCGCCCACCCCAAAAGCCCCCTCCCGGTACTGGTTGGGAAACATATTGCTGCCCACCAGGCTTGCGGTGCCCTCGTAGCCTGAGGCAGGGTACGAGTCCAGGGTTAGCAGCTCTGGGCTGTGGGGTTCTGGGGGGGCACCCCCATCCGCACTGCCCCCCACCCCAGGCCCAGAGAACAGGTCCAACATGGTGAAGAGAGGTGAAGACTGCTCGTAGGGAAAGCCATAGTCATCCAGGGAATCAGGTCCACCGGGGGGCTCCAGGCCAGGCAGGGTCACGGGTGGCAAGAAATCCGGCTCAGGCATCAGAGAGGCTGGTGGGAGGAAAGGGAGAGCTGCCGAGTGACAAGGGGGGAGGAAGGAGAGTTAGCTGCGGGAAGGCAGGAAGGCAAGGAGAGCCTGCCAGACAATCTCCTAAGCCACTGAGGAATGACTGAAAGAAACAATCTTTCTAAAATCAGCGAAGCCCCCTCTCCATGGGGATGAGCCAAAATCTGATAATTCTAAAATTAACCCTCCCAGCATATCCCAGCAGATCCCAGAAAAAAGCCTCAAATCCTTCCCCACAAAAGGAAGAATTTAAAAAGCAGCTAATGGGATTTTCAAGTCGTTTTGTTTTAAGTCAGGATCTGAGGCTGTCTCCTCTTAGCCAGGAAATTCCCTCTCTCAAAGCAGGCTAGCCCCTCCTCTGCAGCTCTCCCTGAAGACTCTAAGCTCCCTGAGGGCAGGATTGGCTCCGCCTTTCTTGGAATCCCCAGTACCACAGCCCAAGGCACACAGCAGGCTTTTAATTAATGCTTGCTGTCTAGACTGAGGGGGAGTCCAGCCTACTTTATTTAGGTCATTACTTATTATCTCTGTTTCAAAAAGTTGTATTTTTTAAAAATGAGAATCCAAAAGAGCCTCCCATTTTCTGGAAGGTTACATCTCAAAAAAGTGTTTCTGGGGGCAGCTAGGTGGCGCAATGGATAGAGCAACAGCCCTGGAGGCAGGAGGACCTGAGTTCAAATGTGGCCTCAGACGCTCGCTAGCTGTGTGACCCTGGGCAAGTCACTTAACCCCCACTGCCCCCCCCCAAAAAAAGAAAAATAAGGTGTTTCTGGATCCTCATGACTACAGTCTTTACAGGATGCAATCATACAGCGTACTATTAAAGAGATTATATCCTATTATTCCAGATGGGGAGACTGATTATATCATAATATAGGATATGTTATCATATATACTCATAATGATCACATCATATAGATAAGGATTAGAGATCGTATCATGTGATATACCATTATATCATGTAGTATAATCATACTGATTAAATAGATGGAGATTGTTGATTTTATCATGATTATAACATAATATATGATGTCATATCATATATCATAATCACATCGATTATATCACATACTATAGTGAGGATTATTGATTCTATCATGATTGTGTCATAATATGTTCTATACCTGTATATCACATATCATAACAATGTTGATTAGGTCATAATATATGCTATATTAAATGATAACCATATAATGCAGATGATTGATTATTGTATTATGATTATAATACGCTATGTCACCATATCAAATCATAATCATATTGACCATATTATGAATGAGCATTGAATATATCATGATTATATCATAATATGTTGTATCTTCTTATCATTATTATATTATATCAATCATGTTGATTATATCCTATTATAGATGATGATTGATTAT